CGTCTGTTACCTGCACTGAGTCCAGAGGGCATCCAATCACAGCTGGCCTTCCTGATCAGCTGATCCAGATGCTTCCTTAAGTCTGGTTTATACTCAGAAACCAGGTCGTCTGCGTTTGTGTCGCAGTAAACGCAGATATGCCCCGCCCCCTTCTGCAGACACTCTGCTGCACCTCTCTCCAATTATAGGTGACCGTAGACAGGAGGCCTCTGATTGGTCAGATCTACATCCGCTCTACTCTATGCGTATTTCCTGTTTGGTTCCTTACCGGCTGGTTTTGTTTGTCTGACCGCCATTGTGGAAAACGACTGGTGAAGATGGAGCAGCTAGCAGAGCGAGGTGTGTGAGAACGCTGGGACCCTTTTCCACCTGGATCCCCGCTCTTTTTGGCCCTCATGTCCCCCCGTTGTCTCACAAACTCGCCCCCACTTCCTCACCGCCTCTTACAGGATCCCACCAGCCCCTCCCTCAGCAGCGTGTCCATCTCTATCACCTGCAGGATAAGCTCCGCCCCTCCCTCCATCCAGGCTCCTTTCATTTTGGCCTCTGCTGACACCTGCTGAGGTTAGCGAGCTCCGCCTCCTCAGACAGCCACCTTCAGCACCGTGTGCTTTGATTGTTAAAGGGAGGAAATCAAAAACCCAACATCCTTTATAATGCATGCACTTTTATGTATTTGTCTCAGTAAGTTTATTAATATAATAAAAGTTTATAAAAAATATTGATATTAATATTTTGTTTTTAAACAACAATATGTTAGGTCTTGTTTTAATAGGCTATGTTCTTTTTAATGTGTTGTAATAAACATTTAATCAGTCCGGCCCTCAGCTTTTTTTTGGCCCTCAGTGTTTTTAATTCTGACATCCCTGGATCAGAGGGACGATCCGTTTCCATGTTTGCGTGTTTGCGTGTTCCGTGTTTATACTGAGAGAAACAGGGAAAGTGGTTCCTTCCCAGTCCCAGCAGGACCATGGAATCATGTTTCAGGAATGAGTGACATCACAACCCAGAACAGACTACATCATTCCTGCTGACCAGCAGAACTTCACCACAGGACCTGACTACAGAAAACAGAAGGTTCTGGACCCAGACCACAGGACCCAGACTCCAGGACCCAGACTCCAGGACCCAGACCCCAGGACCCAGACCCCAGACCCCAGGACCCAGACCTGGGGCCCATCAGCAGCAGCAGTGGGTGATCAGTTCCAGAGCTAAACCTGGTTCTGATTGGTTATCAGTAGAATCCATCTTCCTGCAGATAAACTCATATCTACAACTACACACACTCCCAGTGACGTCATCACCCCTGCATCACCTCCTCCTCCTCTTCATCATCATCATTCTTTCCGTGCACGTGTCATCTTACCTGTTTCTGCTGGCTGCGCGAGCTCCGTGCGCGTGCCCGCCGGAGTACAAGCTGTAGGAGGCCCGCATCGGGAACGTGCTTCTGGCGTGCTCGCAAATCCAGAGCACGAGCAAAAGCAACGGGAGCGCGCCCATCCCGATCAATACGGTATCAATGAAGATGATTGATCCTCGATCACCACGTGATCAACTCTTTAGAGGGCGGGAAAATGTCTTATCTCCATGGAGACGGAGAAAAATTCCTGGAAGTTAGTTCTTCATGATCCGGATTCTGATCCGAACTGAGTCCAGAATCTGAGTCCTGATCGAGCCTCCTCTAAGCTGCGCTGAAGGGAGGCTCCTCCATCAGAGCAGGAGAAACAAAGAGAAGAAAAAGTTACGACAGTCTGAAGAGGCCAGCTGCTCCTCCTCCTCCTCACTGACCCCGCCCACGCAGGAGGAGAAACCGGAGCTGCTGCGGCCACACCTGGACACGGAGGAGGAGGAGGAGGACCAGGAGGACGAAGAGAAAGGAGGAGGAGGAGGACATAGAGAAAGGAGGAGGAGGAGGACCAGGAGGACGAAGAGAAAGGAGGAGGAGGAGGAGGAGGACATAGAGAAAGGAGGAGGAGGAGAAAGTGAGGGGAGGAGGAGGAGGAGGAGGAGAAAGGAGGAGAGGACCAGAAGGAGGAAGAGAAAGTAGAAGGAGGAGAAGGTGGAGGAGGAGGCCCAGGAGGAGTAAGAGAAAGGAGGAGGAGGAGAAAGTGAGGGGAGGAGGAGAAAGTGAGGGGAGGAGGAGGAGGAGAAAGTGAGGGGAGGAGGAGGAGGAGAAAGTGGAGGGAGGAGGCCCAGGGGGAGTAAGAGAAAGGAGGAGGAGGAGGAGGGAGGAGAAAGGAGGAGAGGACCAGAAGGAGGAAGAGAAAGTAGAAGGAGGAGAAGGTGGAGGGGGGAGGCCCAGGAGGAGTAAGAGAAAGGAGGAGGAGGGGGAGGGGGAAGAGAATTAGGGAGGAGGAGAAAGTGGAGGAGGACCATGAGAAGGAAGAGGAGGGATGAGGAGGAGCAGGAGGAGAAAGGAGGATGAGGAGAGAGGAGGACGTGCGGTTCGAAGTCCCAGATTGCTTCAGGAACAGTGGATTATCTGACACTGTTTATGTAGAAAAATGTTTCACTAACTAACTAACTAGGTAACTAACTAACTAACTAACTAACTGGGTGATTTAAATCATTCATAAGGTTACAGATAATCATAAAAACTGTCTGCTGTCCTCAATTCTATTCAGTTTATTTCTATAGGGCCAATTCACACATCATCTCCAGGATCTTTACAGCTGATTGCATCGACTCATTGACTCTTCAGCAATCCCTCACACTAAGCATGCTTGTAGCGACAGTGGAGAGGAAAAACTCCCTTTGAACAGGAAGAAACCTCCAGCAGAACCAGGCTCAGTGTGAGCGGCCATCTGCTGAGGCCCACTGGGGTTCAAGGAGACAGAAGCAGACATAGAAAAAGAAGCATAGATACAAAAGGCAACTGTCAACCAGCTCCACAGGCGGCCCCGTCCAGGAAACACACAGCCAGGCAGACGAGCTCCGAGCCAGCTCCCATGTCAGAGGATGAAGAGAGCACATCCAGTTAGTCACAGTCAGAGAAACAGGACTACACTGGAAAACAGGCCAAGCTCCAACATCTAGAAACAAAGGTGTTGATGGCAGCAGCACAGCTGATATTTCTCTCCAGGATGGAGTCACAGCCAAACAGGAACAGACCAGATGAAGCTACTATGAGAAAAAGCAGAGAGAGCAGAACGTTAGAGATTGAACTAACAGATTCTGCAGAGTGGGAGAATAGAGATAGAATGAAGCAGAATGATGAAAAAGGGGTCCCTATGTCCTCCAGCAGTCTAAGCCTATAGCAGCAGAACTATAGAGATAGATCAGGATAACCTGAGCCACTCTAACTAGAAGCTTTATCAAAAAGGAAAGTTTTAAGCCTAGCCTTAAAAGTAGACAGGGTGTCTGCCTCACGGACTAAAACTGGTAGTTGGTTCTCCACAAATTCTTGTTCATATTTTAATTAAAACACAAAGTCTTCTTCACAGTGATCCAACTGCAGGCGGAGCAGAACTGGGACAGAGAAAAACAATTCCCCATCTTCAGTCGATCCATCAGAGGTTCTGTTTCCATCAATCTCCAGTTTGCTGAAGCTGCCTGATTCTTCAGGTTCCGCTGAGCCCATCATCCTCCATTTATACTTCAACACCAGGTCGTCTGCGTAGGTTTCGCAGTGAACAAAAAGACGTCCCCGCCCCCTCCGCAGACACTCTGCTGCACCTCTCCCAAATTGTAGGCGAGCGCAGACAGAAGGTCGGCTTGTTTGGTGTGTCTGACCGACATTGTGGAAAACGACTGGTGAAGATGGAGCAGCTAGCAGAGCGAGGTGCGTGAGAACGCTGGGACCCTTTTCCCACCTGGATCCCCGCTCTTTTTTGCCCTCATGTCCCTCCATTGTCGAACAAACTTGCCCCCACTTCCTCACCGCCTCGGCCGTATCTAGACCCACAGCTAGTTCCTGATTGGCCCTCTGGCGTTGTGGCGTGGAATAACGTAGCGCAGACCACGCTTCAATACTGGGCAGAAATCAAGAATATCTGCGACACACTGCTGCAGGAGGATAACCATTTCTTATTTACAGACTGTTTACAAAGCAAAGTTGTGTTTTGTGCAGCTCTCATGATATTTCCATCTCTGAAGTGCAGCAGTGATCAAATATAAACACTGGGAGAAGAAAAAAACGCATTGATATGGTCGGTTTCATGCAGAGACTGACATGATTTAGAGTTTTTTTTTAACATTCAGCTTTTCTTTCTCAGTTTTTTTTATTTCTCAGTTTATTCATTAGTTCATCAGTGTGATGGCGGTGGGGAAGAAGCTGCTGCAGAACCTGCTGGTCCTGCATTGAATGCTGGGAAGCCTCTTCCCAGAGGGCTGCAGGGAGAACAGTCCATGGTGGGGGGGGGTGAGACAGCTGGTCAGAAGGCTCTCTATGGTGCTTCTGGAGAAGGTGGGGAGGATGGGGGGGTCAGGTGAGGACCTGCAGGCCAGGTGTGTCTCTCCTGATGGGTCCACTGATCAGAACCATCAAAAGTTTAGAGAAATGCTTGAGAAATCAGATCTAGTCTCGCTTTTAGACATAGTGTGAGGAGCTTCATGTTATCTGACCTTCTGACCTGACACATGCTCCGCCCCCTCACCTGTAGGGCCTGCAGGTCCTCACCTGCCAGTCAGAACTCAGGTCACTCAGCATCAACTACAAACAGAAAAGTCCTTCTGATAAAACAGAATAAATTGGTTTTCTAGTCAATAGAAGCAGCTCACAGAGTCCCTGCTTCACCTGCAGGGAACAGCCACCTGAAGCTCACCTGGTCTGTCGGTAAACCAGAGAGAACCATATGTTTCAGGGCAAAGGTCGCAGAGTCAAGAATGTGAGTTTGGAATATAACAGTAAAATGTGTCCAGACTTTTCCCTGGAGACACAACCTGGAATGTTCTGAGGAACGATACTGCAGCTGCTCCAACCACAGAAGAAGAAGAAGTCTGAAAAAGTTTGATGAGAACAAACAGGAAGAGGATGCTGATTAGAGAAGAAATTACTGAGAGTGTTTGGGTTCGTCTTTACAGAGCAAAGGTCAGCATCTTCATGAGTCCACTACATTTTGTCAGAGCCTCCTTCCTGCAGCCTGTTCATCCTCCAAATGCAGAGGAAGGGGATGGAGATCTTTCAGTTTTACAGCGAGCTCATGCATGGTAAATATCTTCTCCTTGGCTTCCATGGACACGGCCTGATCATTCATCATGGCTTTTAGGAATGTTGGGGAATGTTGGGGGATGTTTGGGAATGTGTGGCTGCAATCTTAGGCTTCTCTCCTTTACTAGAAACACAGTCACCACAGATTTACCACATTTCAGCAGCAGAGGTGGAAACATTTCTGTTTGACTAACAGATGTTTACAAAAAGGGGAGGAGCAGCAACTGAAGAGAAAGGAGAAAGGAGAGGGGGAGGAAAAATGGGAGGGAATGAGGAAGGACAGGGAAGTAGGAAGGAGGAGAGTTGAGATTAAAATCTGCGAAGATCGATCAGGTTTCAGAAGGCTGATATTTTATAACAATAACGGTATAGTTCCTATAAAATACGTC